GTAGCTAACACGTAAACAATGAAACTAACACGTAAACAATGAAACTAACACGTAAACAATGTAGCTAACACGTAAACAATGTAACTAACACGTAAACAATGAAACTAACACGTAAACAATGTAGCTAACACGTAAACAATGTAACTAACACGTAAACAATGAAACTAACACGTAAACAATGTAACTAACCCGTAAACAATGTAACTAACACGTAAGCAATGTAACTAACCCGTAACCAAGATAACTGACGAGCAGCTAGGGTAAATAACATGTGACTAGGGTAGGTAACCAAGGTAACAACTAACACGTAAATAACATCCAACTAGCGCGCAACTAGGGCAACTAACACGTGGCTAGAACCAGGTACCAAGGTAACTAACAGGTAACTATGGTAAATGACGCGCAGCGAGAGTAACAAACACGTCACTACGTAGCAGTTTACATTAGATATTGCCGAAGACATTAAACGAAGGCGACAGGCGTGAGTCGTCTAGTGCGTCGTGGGCGTCGCAGCTTGGATTGATTATTATAACATCTCACATTACGTTTATTAGCTGCTAGATCTTCGCAGTGTATACGTTATCCAGCTAGACAGGGCATCTGCGATACTGCCGCTAATAACTACTGCCTTCAGCGCAGGCAACCGCCGCTGTTTCGTTAATCATCGTATTATTCTCGTGATTTCCCGTTTTCCGAGCGACGTAGTGATAGAATCAGATAATCGATAGAGAGATTATGGCGCGCATTCTGTACGTGCCAAATTACGTTTGAGGTTCCATGGGTCTGCCCGTGGCAGCTATTGGCTGTAGTAACCTAGTGATCGGCTAGTGGATTTCACGTGCCGCAGTGTGGTCGTTGGTAGACCGGCATGCATTTGTTGAAATGTCGAAATCATAAAATGCAATTTCTCTCGTTTTTTTGACCTAGTTTGGACGCAAGCCCCACAAGCGGGATATAGCGCGTCATATTCTGCCGACATTGTATAGCATGTTGCTACTCCTTCCCGAAAAATTATCGTTCTTCATAAGCCAATCACGAAATTCGGAAAGAATTTTAACATGTTTGATCCCCGAATATCTAGAAACGTGGCGGAATTTCTGGAGACTCTCCGGCATTTCTGCCTTACGCCTCCTTCAAACGCTCCCCGCTTGCGACTATAGCTCTATTTCTATCGCTCCCCGCTATAGTATAGCACAGGTATCATCACCCTATAACGCTGAACGCGCAGTAAGACAACACAACTACATCAGACTTTTTGAGTTTCCGAGTTTTCGAGTTTCCGAGTTTTAGAGTTTCCGAGTTTCTGAGTTTCCGAGTTGCTAACTTTCTTCTGCGCGTACACACAAACACCTGAAGCAGAGACAATAGAACACTCATAATAGAACATATACAAAATATGGATACAATAAAATATATGAAATGGCATGCGCAGATGAAACTCAGAAACTCGGAAAAGAAACTCGGAAACTCATAAACTCAGAAACTCGGAAACTCAGAAACTTGGAAACTCGAAAACTCGAAAACTCAAAAAGTCGTATGTCGTTTCAGGGCTGAAGCGCCTAAAGCAGGAAACAATAGAACACTAACAATAGTACACATGTAAAATATAGATATAATAAAATATATGAAAAGGCATGCGCAGATGAAACTTAGAAACTCAGACACTCGGAAATTCGGAAACTCGCAAACTCAGAAACTCGAAAACTCGAAAACTCGAAAACTCGAAAACTCGAAAACTCGAAAACTCGAAAACTCGGAAACTCAAAAGATCGGATATCGTTTCAGGGCTTCCATACTATGGCCACCATATAAAACAACCCGCAAGAATGTGTTGACGTGTTTCACTACCATTATGCCACGCTTGCGCGCCTATAAATTCACAAAGTACGAATTTTAATGGCGTCTTTAGTGTAACGTTAACGTGAATGAATGAGGAGACACTGAAACAAGAGTCTATGCAGGCCCGTGTCACGATTTCTTAATCGATGGTGGCGCAACGGCTGGTAACCAAATATAAATAAACACCCGCTTATAAACGCCTATATCAGAACTAATACCTCATTTTAAACACATGTCAAACGCTTCTCTTGGTTATTTGGCAGCAATTCTCGATCGGACACCTCAAGATCTGTTCGGACTATTCGCAATTCACGAGTCACAATCTCGTGCAAGGAGAGACTAGCAACGATGAAAATTTCTTCAGGAGAAAACACGCGCTACTACAGCTACACTTTCATCAAAAATCTAATAAAATTCACAATAGTTTACATTCTCCACGTTCTACTATCGTCGACAAACACTTGAGCAAAGCATATAATTCCGTTTATATGCCGGCGGGCCTCCCGTTTGATCGGCTCGCTACTGTTCTCACACTATACGCAAAGCAAAAGCGTGCACGTCACCCATAACGGTGAACAAAACGTGGCCATGCACGCGCCACCCACGTATACGCGTGCACGATCCACTCACTAGCTCACAGCTCTAGTTCTCTGCTTCCTCTAGTATAAGATCATCCTTACTGTCCCTCTCGAGCTTATCTTTCATTCTCTTCTCCGCCTTCTCCGCCTTCTCCGCCTTCTCCGCATCCTCCGTTCATTCCTATCTGGCATTCTCCGCCTTCCCGCACCTCGCTTCCTTCTTCGCCGCCTTCTCCGCGCCTTTCGTTGCGTTCCTCCTTCCTCCTTGCTGTTCTTTGCTTGCCGCTCTCGCCTGTCCTCCTCGTCGCGTCATGTCTCTATGTCTTTCGTCCGTCGTCGCTGGACGAGTTCTTCCCTCATCCTCAGGCGACACAGTGCTCTCGGTAGGAAGTCGCCGAGCCTTCGTCGAATCTTCGAACATGAAGAACTCCATCACGAGAGTTGATCACCATTGAAAAGTGAGAATGAGAGGCGGATCGCCAAGAGCACGTAGACACCAGCCATTGCATCATGAAACGCTTGCGTGAGGTGAAGCAGATAATGAATTATGGATTAAATCTACAGTGTCGGAGACGTGTCAAAAGAGATCGAATTATAGGCTTAAGTCTGACGGTGTCGGAGACGTGAGTCAAAAAAGGAGCGTCGGATTAGTGGATTATCTACGGGTGTCGGATACGTGTCAACGAGGTCGGATTAAAGTGGCTTAATCTACGGTGTCGGAGACGTGTCAAAGAAGATCAAATTAGTGGCGTAATCTACGGTGTCGGAGACGTGTCAAAGGAGATTAAATTAGTGGCGTAATCTACGGTGTCGGAGACGTGTCGGGCGGAGAGGAATTACATCACCGCTGCGGTATGTGGCTGCCATTTTTGTTGAAGATGTTTGTTTAAGTTTTTATTTTACAACATAATTTCAAAGTATTTCATTCGAGACATGAGAGGGTTATACGCCCACGCATGCACGTACGAGCGCACGCACACACGCACGCACTCACGAAGGTATGTACGCACGCACGTGCACACAAACGCACGCTCGCATGCACGCCCGTACTACTCTGAGCGCACGTGTGCGTAAACAACGCTTTTTCGTAATTTCTCTATAATATTACAGATTGTGTTTCGTTAACCGTTTCACTGACCTTTGTCTTTCGGCACGACATCGCCAAGGCCGATGGTACTCAGCGATATGAAGCAAAAGTAGAAAGCAGTAAGGTAATCCCAGTCCTTCTCTCCCACGGTGAAGATGACGGCTACGAAAAAAAAATTTTGTTGATAATATTGGTAATCGGAGAATCTCGAAATAACAAGAAATTGTTTGTGAGTTGCCGACACGAACTCGACCGAGATGCACAGTAAACAACGCCTTTTGACTCGCGATCACAAAACCGAGGTTTGGTAACAAGGTTGTTATTGTAAGCATGCGCACTGAGTTGTGACTATGTGTGAATCTAACCCTACGAAAATAGAGCTTCATGCTTGAAAATACGTCGGCATTTCAGCAAGTAGTAAGAACGTTGAAACGCGCGATCACTGTAGCTGTTTGTATAAGGCCTTAAAATCCTTTATATTATTTAGATTTAAATAAATATTTAACTAAAAATTTAAATATAATACATATACGTCGCGACGCGCAAATATTTTAGCAGGTTCATAAGAATTTTATAGTATATTATGATGACAAATGCGCAACTTTTTCAGGGTGGCAGCACAATCGCGGTGTCAGCGTCCAAAACGGGAAATTTCGAAATGCAATGTTGTTTTATGACAAACGTGAATGCGTGATTATAGAAATTTGTAGGTATATGCTATTACTTATGCATGCATTTACCATCATAATATACTATAAAATTCTAGGGGAAAGTATTTCTTTAATCTGTGCGTAACATCACCTCCTATAAACATGTAGATGACCATGAGGAGAAGAGCGATGCTGATCGGCAGGTTAAACTCGTCATCAACAACAAACTCCACCATCGTCCCGTCGTCACCATCCAGGCTCGCCTCCTCCTCAGCCTTCGCCTGCCAATACACGCAAGTAGGGTAAGCAACCATGGCAACGGACACGTAACCAGGGTAACAAACATGTAACCGGGGAAAAAGGTACCGTATAAACGAAACCGTAACCATGACAACAGACACGTAACCATAGCAGCGAACACGTAACCATGGCAACGGACACGTAACCTAAGTAACGAACGTGCAGCTATGGTAATTGGCATTTGACTAGGATGAGTAACCAATGTAACTAACACGTACACAATGAAACTAACACGTAAACAATGAAACTAACACGTAAACAATGTAGCTAACACGTAAACAATGTAACTAACACGTAAACAATGAAACTAACACGTAAACAATGTAACTAACCCGTAAACAATGTAACTAACACGTAAGCAATGTAACTAACCCGTAACCAAGATAACTGACGAGCAGCTAGGGTAAATAACATGTGACTAGGGTAGGTAACCAAGGTAACAACTAACACGTAAATAACATCCAACTAGCGCGCAACTAGGGCAACTAACACGTGGCTAGAACCAGGTACCAAGGTAACTAACAGGTAACTATGGTAAATGACGCGCAGCGAGAGTAACAAACACGTCACTACGTAGCAGTTTACATTAGATATTGCCGAAGACATTAAACGAAGGCGACAGGCGTGAGTCGTCTAGTGCGTCGTGGGCGTCGCAGCTTGGATTGATTATTATAACATCTCACATTACGTTTATTAGCTGCTAGATCTTCGCAGTGTATACGTTATCCAGCTAGACAGGGCATCTGCGATACTGCCGCTAATAACTACTGCCTTCAGCGCAGGCAACCGCCGCTGTTTCGTTAATCATCGTATTATTCTCGCTATTTCCCGATTTCCGAGCGACGTAGTGATAGAATCAGATAATCGATAGAGAGATTATGGCGCGCATTCTGTACGTGCCAAATTACGTTTGAGGTTCCATGGGTCTGCCCGTGGCAGCTATTGGCTGTAGTAACCTAGTGATCGGCTAGTGGATTTCACGTGCCGCAGTGTGGTCGTTGGTAGACCGGCATGCATTTGTTGAAATGTCGAAATCATAAAATGCAATTTCTCTCGTTTTTTTGACCTAGTTTGGACGCAAGCCCCACAAGCGGGATATAGCGCGTCATATTCTGCCGGTCGCAAGCGGGGAGCGTTTGAAGGAGGCGTAAGGCAGAAATGCCGGAGAGTCTCCAGAAATTCCGCCAAGTTTCTAGATATTCGGGGATCAAACATGTTAAAATTCTTTCCGAATTTCGTGATTGGCTTATGAAGAACGATTTTTCGGGAAGGAGTAGCAACATGCTATACAATGTTATAGCTCTATTTCTATCGCTCCCCGCTATAGTATAGCACAGGTATCATCACCCTATAACGCTGAACGCGCAGTAAGACAACACAACCCTTACCGCTTTCTTAGTCTCCTCTTTCTTGGCGTCGAATCCCGTCTCCTCTATCGTCGTATCGATGCTCTTCTTCCGTCCCGTCACCGTGTCGGCAGCCTTCTCCGCCGCCTCCTTCGTCTTCTCCACGGCCGTGATGCCGATATCCATCGCCTTGTCGGCGCCCTTCCTCGCAAGATCGGCTCCCTTCTGCGCCGTCTCTCTCACGATGGCTGTCTCATCGTGCACGGCGCTTCTCAGCTTCTTGATGGCCCTCAATTGGTAGAAGCGGCGCGCGAATGACCAGACGTATTTAATCGCGCGCGTGAACAGCTTGCCTATGTCGGTGAGGACGATGAGTAGGATGGGCATGCCGATGACGGCATACGCCATGCAGAAGCAGCGTCCGTTCAACGTCTTAGGCGCGATGTGGCCGTAACCTGTAGAAGAGGGGGGAACATATTAGTAATGTTGCTGCTGCTGCTGATGATGATAATAATAATAATAATAATAATAATAATAATAATAAATAAATAATACAGTAACAAGATTGAAATCAATATGTAGTTAAAACTAGTAGTTGTGATAACATAATAATAATAATAATAACAACAACAACAACAACAACAACAATAATAATAAATAATACGCTAATCAATTTAAAAATTAAGAATATAATAACAATATTAATATAAATAGCCATTATAATAATACTAATTATCATCATCATCATCATTATCACCATTAATATCTTCATCATAATCATTATTATTAATTATCATTTCACAGTAACTGTTGTTCTGGAGGGAACACCTCGATCCTGTGATGGTACATTCTTGTTGGTCGAAGAACTTTCGACGTCAAGAAGCATACAATATTTTGCCTACATCACGTGAGGAAAACGTTTACCTTTCATGTTTGATAATATTATCAACGATTAATTATTCGAATCATTCCAACGTAGAAGAATGAATTAGCATATTACTATTACTACGGGACCGTTGAGTGTGGTATACAGCCGTAGACGTAAAAAAAATCTCTCCAAGTGCGTGTGAGCTATACAGTGCGCGGCCATCGCCATCTGTCTGCCATTACGTATAACCACGGTTCACGTTCGGTTTCAAAATATTGTGAATCGAAAACACATTTAGAAATCCCGACGAAGGAAAATAATTGCAAAGGAAATATATAGTAAATATCGCCTGCGATTCCATAATTGATTTGTCTGAGAATCCATTACATCGTGCGACTATCGCGTGCGATAAAATAAACTTCGGACTAAACTGCGGCGACAGGTTTTTAATTAATACGATGAATCATCCGGGGAGTTCTTCCAGTGTTTACGTCATACGAGACACAAGGTTTGTTTTTGGTTGTGCTGCTAGCCGGGAACTAGGACGCCTGCGCATACGGAACGGGAATCTCGTTTTTCGGGAGTCCTAGATGTACAAGGTCATTCTGCCCCTCGGCGTTTGACACCGGAACCCTTCTTTTATAAGTGAAGCTGTATAAATTATACAAGTGGACACGACGACAGAAATATTGGCCATTTCGAGTGTGTGCTGGCAAAATTTTGTCTACAAAAAAAATTATGGAAGAATTTTCGAGTTAATTACATATATGGTGTCACTTGCGACGTGGATTCAGAGGATTGCATTGTGATTTCTCCAAAAATCTTCTGCCGATTTATGGGAATTTTTTCGTAAGTATGGCCGCCAATGGGAAATGATTTCCCAGCGTAGTACCATAAACGGCTCTATATGCGCGCCACCGTCTACTTCACATGACGCTCGCGCGTTGCGGATTGCTGGCTAAGTAATCAAGATTGACACGTTATACTTGCCACTCGATACCGTGGAATACCAAGTAGCTCAGCCCCCCTGTCATCTCCTCTTCCTAGCTTACACGTGCAATTAGTAGTACTGTGTGCAGCATGGGAGCAGCTTAACGTCTTAACGTTGCAGCATTGCTACACCCCACCACCACCACCAACATCTTTACATTCCATCCAGCATTGCTACACCCCAGCACCATCACCAACCTCCTTACATTCCATCCAGCATTGCTACACCCCACCACCGCCACCACCATCCTTACATTCCATCCAGCATTGCTACACCCCACCACCGCCACCAACCTCCTTACATTCCATCCAGCATTGCTACACCCCACCACCGCCACCAACCTCCTTACATTTCATACCATCCGATCAGGTTGCCTACACCCCTCCACCGGCCACCCACCATCTTGTACATCCATCCGGCATTTGCTACACCCCACCACCACCACCATCATTCCTTCCTACGGGAAATCCTAACGAAACACAACACACACACACACACACATCACACACACACACACACACACACACACACACACACACACACACACAAACAAACACACACCGCATCACAACCCACACACACGCACACGCTACGCGCAGGCTCGCACACACACACACACAACACACACACACACACACAGCACACACCCACACACACACACCACACACACAACACACACACATACACAAACTACACACACACACAACACACACACACATCACACACACACACACACACACCACATCCCCACACACATCCCCGCTCCACACAATCCGCCCCCACACACACAAACCACGCCACCTACATGCCACGCCACATGCACGCCACGCCGCAAAAGCTACCGATCGTCGTTATGATCGTCGCAGCGAAGAACACCGATCCCATGAGGTTCCAGTCCTCGTCGAGATCGTGCCTGCTCGTGATGTTCAGATTCGGTTCGTCGAGCCCGCTCTCTATCGTCAGCAGCTGATAGCGATTCAGCATCGTGTCGAGCTCCGCGACGAGCGAGTCGTCGACGTTGAACTGATCATTGCTGAAGATGTTCATGTTGAGCACCTTCTGCCACAGATGTTCGGTGATCAGCTCGACGTAGTGAAGAGTGAGGTTCTCGTGAACGCCGAGCAGTTCACGATGCGCTTCCAACATGGCGTTCTTCTGCGCCTGCTCGTGGCCGAGCTCGAAGTGACGGAACAGGTAGCCGCCGAGGAAGCAGTAGCCGACGAGGAGAGCGATGAGCAGCACGTGCGTGAACCACTTGCGCGACCAGTCGTGCAGCACATGCTTGACCGTGTCGAACGACGGACAGTAGAGCGGTCGCTCGAGTAGCGGCAGCAGCGACGTCTGCTTGGACGGCGGCGCCGGTCGGTGGCTGGAGGCGCGCGACGAGCTGCTAGCTTGCGGTACGTACGTCGACCGCGGCCGCATGTACGCCGGATACGAAATCGGACGAACCTGCCGACGTCGGGCCTCGTTCGGCGTCGGCGCCGTCGAGACGGATCTCTTCGTAGAAGGTTTCGAAGCGCCGTAAAACGACATCGTCGTCGTGGTTTACGGTTCCGAGAGGTGGGGCAGGTGGTTGTGGAGATGCTGTCTTTCTTCTCCGGAGATGTACAGCGCGTGTGTGTCTAGGAATAGCTAGCTTCGGTGAGTGAGTGCGTGCGCGCGGGGCTCGGTGCAGGCAGAATTCAACACGAAGCAGTCGCAGACGCTGCTGGCGCTTCCTGCAGCGGCACAACAATGTCTGAAGCCCTGAAAATGCAAGCAGACGCGCGGTGCGTGGTTACCGAAGAATATCATCCCCCCCAAAGGGCGTCGCGAAGCAATAAAAATAGTGCCGCGGCTTTGGTGAAGAGCGACAGTCCCGGGGAGGCGAATCCACCCTAGGGGGGGGGGTCTGGGCGGCTGCCTCCCCCGGAAAATGTTGAAATCTACAGGCAACAATGGTGGGCTCTGCGGATCTGAGCATTATGTGATTAGCACAAAGAGTTTCACTGTAATTTTAGAAAAATACATGATAGATTTAAAAGATTGTTGCAAACTCCAATTATTTTTTTCTCACATTTACAGTGGAATAATCTTTGGTAAAACTTCCTGAAAATACATTCCAGTTCAAGAAATGCATACAATTTACGGCCGTGCTCACAACGAACTGGTAGATATCGTCGATTGAACGCGCTTGACCCCGAGCAAAGCATACGCTCCTCAATATACGCGCAAGCATTACGGTATATACGCAAACGCATTGCTGCTTGCCAATAGAATCAGGAGTGACGACGGTGACGAGGAATGTGTGCCAGAGTTCTGATCATAAAATTTATAGCACTTAAAGGTGACCTCAGGCGCGTGTACAGTCATTTGACCGAGGGGTGGCGGGTCAACGGTAAGGACGATACCCTAGCTAACAGAAGTTATGTCCTTGAATGTTACTGGGAATGTTTCTTTTAGCGTCTAACATTATTCTAGTAACGTTCTAATAACGTGTTTTTAGGAAAGTTTTCCTGACATTCTGAGAACGCTTTATATTCT